TGCGGCTGAAACATCCCAAAAGTACAATCTCAATGAGTGTAGTATCGAGTATCAACCAATTCCCAGCTTTACACCGAGATTGGCTATCTCACTACTTTCTAATGGCCAAGTTTGTTCAACTAAGGTTCTAAGGTCCGTTAGTGCTTCAGAACACCATGTGGTGGACCCGTATTCTCCTTGATTCAACACAAGGGATACCGGTACCAACCAAAGTGTCACACCAACACAGTCATCGCTTCAACCATATCAATTTACGCCGTACAGTCTCCACGATCTATTGTTGTTTACCTAAAAGTGTGCCCCATATCCGAATGTAGGATCTATAGAAACAACCAAACAGCCCTCCAAGGGTAAAGCAAAAAAAGCACAACAAAGCAGTTTATATAATGAACTAACTCTAAGGTAACCCCACTTTTTATATAGTCCCCAGCAGAGTCGCCAGTTCTGTGATACGGTGGCAGAACCGACTGTTTAAATACTGGTTTTGTGTTTTTTTTTGTTCGCAATTATTGTGATAAGCAAGAGTCTCCACCGACTTTTCTTTTATCCAACAAAGGAAAGGGTGAAAAGAACAGAAAAAGACCTTTTCGAGAGTTTTCTGAGTAAGGGGGGTAGATTATGGAAAGGGAATGTGTTAGCACCCTTTCCATCTGTGGTTTTCCACGGGCTCTTAGAGGTTTGCTCATTTTGAAATACCTTTGTGCTTTGTGTGTTTGAAAATGTTTGGAAAATGCCTTAGTACTGAGAAATTTGTAATGTTTCTCGGGATAGTGGAGAAAATATACAAAGTGTTTTGAAATTGTTTTTGTTAAGTAGTTTTCTGTGTAAGTATAAAATATTTGAGCAAACTTCTAACAGCTATCTACTTTTATACTCGAAAAGTTTGTTCTTTTCCTCTTTTCCCTTAGAGAGTGCTATCCTACTATTAGTGAGTAGGTAGCTCTATGGTTGGATGTTTTTAGGGACAATTGGAGGGACGTTACAATCACGAAGGCAACTTGTGGAGACGCTTTAGCAATTTTGTTTAGGGACTAGATCATTTACCGAAAAGGCAACTGTAGGGTCATTGAGGGACTGTGATCTTTTGATTTTACGGGTCTTTGCTAAAGCGTTCCTATTCTCGAGGGACATGACTGCTTTTCCGAAGGCAACCAAAGTGGGCGTACCTTAGAGGTGTACATGTGATAGTGTGTTGTGTTTCAGTTATTTTATCTTTAAACATTTAGGTGTTCTACCATTTGTTTTCAGATCCTGTCATGCAATCCTAGTTAGCATACATCTAAGCAGTTAATATATATACATGAATTTAAAGTGTGGGAATTGTAAATCCTACACAATTACAAGGCTTTGGAACAGTTACATAAAAAATGCAAGAAACTAAAAATGCGGAATTTTAAATATAAAGTTATTACAACTGTGGGCAGTTACAATAAAATAAAATGCACGCAAATTTGAAAATAACGTCTAAAAATCCTAAGAATAAAATCTTTTTGTTCTTTTATTTTATTTTAGGAAAATGATCTAAATCTTCTTGATTTTAGTTTTAAGAAAATGTTAAGATAATTAAATGATTAATTAACTAAATTAATTTAATAGAAAAAATTAGCCTAATGTTTTTGTGGTTTTTTTTAATTGATTTTATGTTGAATGGAAAAAAAATAGTCAAACCAAGGATGAAATCGAAGGAACAGGCAGTAAATAAAAAAAGTGTGATTCTGGAGGCCTGGATTGAAAGAGGCTTGGGTTATCTTTCGATCCAGTAAAGATGCTTGATTGAAGGTGCATGAGAGGCTGCACTTTGGGGGTGTTCGATCTGGATATGTCATCCTTCGATCTGGGAACCCTGGATCCAGTTCGAAGTTGAGCTGCTTCGAAGCTCTGGACAAGATTTTGAGAAGATGTTTCCTACAAAACGAAACAAATGTTAGAGATCCAGGGGGGACATTACCCCCTGATTCGAATCTCCTCCCAATTCGAATCTTTCCTCAATTTGAATCTACTGAGTCTGGGTCTTGGTCTGGGTTTGTTGTTTTGTCCTGAGATTCGAAGGAAAAAACTTAGATCGTGCCCCAACAATGGCACGATCTCATCTTTGCGCTTTAGCTTACATGTAACATAATCAGTAATAACAAGAATATATGTGCAATGTGTATTTAAATATCATGAAGGTGAAATTTTGGTTTTGCAAACCCTTACCAATCCAATATGTGTGATCTGTGGCTCCGGGTGTGGAGATGTTTGCTTAGGAGTTGGGGTGAACTCCTGGATGACTCAGGAATACGAATATGGTATTCTTTTGTAATGGGGATGCCTGCAAAAAACATATTTTGATTGGGATCACTCTGTGAGTTTTGAGTTTTTTGATGTGCTTTCTAAGGCAGTGTGTGTGTGTAGTATCCCCTTACGTCCTCTCTTTCATCCCCTTTTTTGCTTGCAAGCATGCTGCTTATATAGAGTAGGAGGGGGGGGGGGGACAAGATAAATAATGTTTATAACATGTATTTTAATACCATGAATACCAATATGTAACCTTGGCCAAAGTTAAGGGATCTTGTCCATTTTTAAATTTGGCATAAATGTGGACATGCTAGCCTTTGAATGCTCTCTTTCAAATGGGTTCATGGCCTCCTTCAAATGGCCCTGATGAAGCTCCTTCGAATGTCTCTGATGAATCTCCTTCAAATTTGCCTTCTTTGCCAGCTTCAAAGTCCAATTCGAATCTATTCAGAATTTTCTTTATTGGAATCCCTTCGACCAGCCCTTGGCCTTGACGGTTCTCTTGAAATTTTATACTGAAATGCCATTTGAAAGACACTTTGCCATGCCAATCGAAGGACCTTTGTCCAGATACCAATCGAATGATACTTTGTTCTGATACCAATTGAAGTGCCTTGCTCAGACACCAATCGAAGTACCTCGTCGAATGATCGAAAACTTCGTTCTGCTCTCTTTGATTTCCTTCAGTTTGGACCAATCGAAGTGACGTTATAATGCCAATTGAAGACGCCTTTGTTCAGATGCCAATCGAAAGACATTGTTAAAATGCCAATCGAAAGACCTTGTTAATAGGACAATCGAAGGACCTTTGTCCATGCCAATCGAAGGGCGTTATGCAGATGCTTTTCCTCAATCCACCGCGCTATGACTGCACTAAGTCTACCCTGTAACATGCTTTTCTTCATCCAAAATTGCTTGCAAACCATCTCTAAGCCCTTCAATGGTCAAAGCTTTAATCAAATGCATAAACCTATAAATTTTAGACAAAAATTGATTAACTATAAACTATTCACTCGATTAAATCAAAATATGATTATTTACATAGAAACAAGGGGAAATACAAGAATATGCGATAAATAGAATAAAAAAGCACCAATAAACTATACTAAATTTTACACATTTTGGTACCTAGAAATTGCTTTCTAGAATTACATTCTGATGTGATTTATTGTTGTTGGTAGCGATTAATTATGAAAGTTTAGGTTTTGTTAGAATTGGTAATTCTACCTTGTTTTAGTTTCGATTAAAGCTGAAGACATTTATAGTAGAATCTTGTGTAAGATTGAAAATCATTGAATAACACTTCTTGTAGAATTGAACGATTTTGCAATACGATTAGTTTTTTTTCATTTTGGTGAAATGATATTGTCCAACTTTATTGCATTGTGAACTGCTTAAGTGTATTCGCATAAATTCCAATTAATAACCATAATCTCTTTTACGTAAACTTTGCTTCCGCCATGCAAAATTAACTTTGTTTTTGAAATTTTGATAAACTTCATTTAAACAAAATTTTAACTTGAGAGGTCTAATCACCCCATATAGACTGTTCATAGTCCATATTCTCACCCAACAAATTCAAGAAAGAACCATGTTGTTGGCTCAATCCCATAACTCAAAATTAGGATGAGAGAAATCAAGTTTGGCAACGAGGATGAAACCAAAATTTTCATCAAAATGGAGGTAGAAGGGATTTTTAAGGTTTAGAGATAAATCTTTTTGAATAATGGTAGTAAATTGAGATTTGACGACTAAATTAGAGTCACTGCTATCTTAGAAGAAAATGATGATGAAAAAGAGAAGAAAGAAGAGGGTTTTAGAATAACCCTAATTTTGAAAAGCAGAAATGCGAATGAAGATGAAAGAGACTGAGAAGTTTTTGGTCAACTGATAACATATTACCCCTAATAAGTTAGGAAAAATATTAAAGATAAATTCTTCTAAGTTATTGTATGTCACACAACCTTTACCATTTCATTTATTGTGATATTTACTCTCACACAAGCTTTTTTCTTTTAAAATTTGAATTGTGGAAATGTGAGGATAAGCCAAATTTTGATAGGACAAGACAACGCGTTTTGATATATTAATGAATGGTTCATTATTCCAGAACCGCGTTGACAGCTTAATAAGCACACAGAAGTAGAAAGAGGTAGTATAAACAAATAGTCTTCTCTCGTGCAATGCAAGCAAGCAAACCAACCAGAATGGAATTGAAATTTTTACACATTTCTCAATACTCTTTACTCCACACCCTTTCAATTTCAATTAAAGTCTTTTGTTTTTGTCTCCTCAGGATCCAACCTTTCCAGCTGTCAATATATATTATTACCATTTTCACCACTTTTTTTATTTTATTAACTAATTAATAAAATATCTACACATCACATGACCACTTATTAAAAATGACAATTTTTAAATTTTTAAATAATAAAGTGGTACATCTTCTAAATATAATTTTTATATTAAATATTTTAAGATGTATTTTTAGAGTACGTATTAATATTTTCCATAATAAAATTGGAGAGTAGCAAACTATAAAAGGCAGTCATAATAATAAGTTTAATTTGATTAATTCAATTAAGATTTTTAAAAAGTATCTACTAGATTGACCTCATTGAAGTTCTATATAAAGGCCACCTAATTGAACAATTCTTAACACAATTCTCTCTCTTATTTATCTTTCTCTCTTTCTATTTCTCCTTGAAAAACAACCATACACCATGGCACATATCCTCAGTGAAGAACAAATCGTTGATTTCAAAGAAGCCTTTGGTTTGTTTGACAAAGATGGAGATGGTGAGTTTAACTTTTTTCCTTTCATGAGTATCAATTAATCTTGTTGTTTAAAATTTGTGTTAATTAATCTTGTTGAATGTGTTATAGGTTGCATTACTGTGGAAGAATTGGCCACTGTTATTAGGTCATTGGATCAGAATCCCACTGAGGAAGAGCTACAAGATATGATAAGTGAAGTTGATGCAGATGGCAATGGAACCATTGAATTTGATGAGTTTTTGAACTTGATGGCTAGGAAAATGAAAGTAATACAATTATTTTACTTTAAAAGTTCTTTAAAATGCTTCATATACATTTCATTTATTATATTATTCAAAAACCAAAAATTAAGTTTAGTTATTTTTTATTTCATTTAGGACACTGATGCTGAAGAGGAGCTAAGAGAGGCTTTCAAGGTTTTTGACAAAGATCAAAATGGCTATATTTCTGCCAGTGAGGTATATATAAAAAATGTGAATTTGTTACAATTTTTTATATGCACATGCAATGAATATTAGCTGTTTAATTATAAGATAAGATATGCATAGGGTTTGACATTTGAGAGGATAGAAGAGAATCTTAGACAGTGTTGTATTAAGTTTTTGGAGATTATGTGTAAATTAAATATAATTTATTCTTATAAAAAATATATAAAATTTTATTTAACTACGTTTTAACCGTGACAATATTTTTCGCACTCTAAAAAAATATTCTTGCATCTTTGTTTGAATATGTGATGGTAAAAGAAAACATGTGTTTTGTGCAGTTGAGACATGTAATGATGAATCTTGGTGAAAAATTAAGTGATGAGGAGGTGAAGCAGATGATTAAAGAAGCAGATATGGATGGTGATGGCCAGGTTGACTATGATGAATTTGTCAAGATGATGATGACCGTTAGATGAAACTATTTCACCTATAAATCCACTGCCTTTATTTAATTCCAACAACCTCATTTCTTTAATTTCCAAAATTGTTGTTGTTTTATTTTTACTAGTAACAAGTGGCCCCATAAATGGGTGCTAACCAAGTATTAGTTAGTTAACCACATCATTCTAGTCCCAACTCAAAATTGTTATTCTTTTAATCCTTATTGTGTTATATAATATAACAAAGTGAAGTTCTTCTGTTAGAAATTTTAATTTTAATTTTAATTGTTGCTCTTCTATTAAAATTGCAATTTATGCTGCCTTCTTATTATAATTTGGTATATCTAATAAAAATAAATGTTAAGCTTGACATATTTAAGATATTTATAACAAAAATAAAAAATTAATTTTACCATTTTTGCATTTTTCTTTCAAAAATAATTTATAGTTAAATATATAAAATAAGTGTGCAAATAAAATTAAATTAAAAGGTTAGGTGAGAGAAAGGAAACTACATTTAGTGATTTAGTATGTGTTTGATTTCATGTTTACAATACAAAACGTGCCTTTGAGGCATATCCCACTCTGGTTTTATTGAGTTTTTAAGAAGCTAGAATTTTAGATTTATTTCGGAGCTTCTAGAGCATATTGTCAGAAATCTATCAAATGTTTATAATGAATTTCTATCAATCTCAATGTTCAAGATTGATATTACTATAATGACAATAAAAAATAAAAAATGACTAAAGAAAGAAAATTATTTTCTACAGAGTTTCTATCTGTCCACAAACTGTAGAAAACTTTATTATTCACTTGCAACTGTAAATTTTGTGAATACAATGAATTGACTAGATTATAAAAATAGAGGTTACTCCCTCTATTCATAGATTTAGGTTAGCTTGCTCTTTAAACCAAAAGCTCAAAACTATAAAAGTCCAAAATACCTATTTTGAAACTAAATCAAATCTATTATATTTTAGATCTAAATCAAATCTATCTAAATCTAAAATCAAATTTGTGTGCAGTATCTTCGACACACCATGTTTCGACACTTCCTTGTCTCTGTCGAGCAAATTGCTTCGACACAAGGAATTACTTTCAACACACCACCTAATTCATTGTGTTTAAGCTATCTACATTCATCATAGCTCTTAGTCTTCAAAATACTTCGATCTGCACACCCTTCGTCATGATGTCTGCAATCTGATTCTCAATTATGCATGTTTCAAATTCATCTTCTCATCTGCTATATGCTCACGAAGATAGTGGAACCTCATTTCGATGTGCTTGCTTCGAGCGTGAGCTATCAAATTCTTTGTCAGGTTGATAGTTGACATGCTATTGATCTTTATGGTAATTGCTCTATGATCTTTCCTTGTTATTTCTTTGACCAAGTTCACCATCCATGTTACTTGACATGCACAAAGAGAAGCAGTTATATATTCTGCTCCGTACGATGATAATGCCACTACTGGTTCCTTTCTTAAACTCCAAGCAACTGGTTAACCACCTAGCATGAACACATATTTTGCTGTGGATTTCTGATCCTCAGCATCACTACACCAACTTGAATCAGTGTATCCCATTAACTTGCATTCTTTTCCCTTACCAACTGCAAGAAATAAAATATCATAGTCGAGAGTTCCTTTCAGATACCTCAAGATCCTTTTCACCGCTGCTAGGTGTGATACCTTTGGCTTCTGCATGAATATACTTACCATACCTACATTGTATGCTAAGCCATGCCTTGTATGACAAAGGTATCTTTAATGATCCAATAAGTCTTCTGTATTGGGTTGGGTCGAAATTATCTTCATCTGCATCTTTCGATAGTTGCAACCTTGGTTCAGTAGGTGTCGAATTCGAGTTGCATTCTTCCATCTCAAATCTCTTGAGAATTTCACTTGTATATCTTCTTTGATGCATCATCAAACCTCTACTGCTCTTGTAGAATTCGGTGTCAAGGAAATATGAAATGTCACCCAGATCAGACATTTTGAATTCCTTGCTGAGATCACCTTTGAAGTCTTCGATCTTCTTCTTGCAGCTACCTGTTATTAACAAGTCATCGACATAGAGACATAGTATAAGAAATTCACTATTGCTTCTCCTGACATATAATCCATGTTTAGTTGTGCACTTCACAAATTCCTTCTCCCTTAGGAAACTATTAATCTTCTTATTCCAAACTCTTGGAGCTTGTTTTAATCCATATAGTACTTTATGCATCATGTACACCTTTCTCTCTTTGTCATGTTTCACAATCCTAACTGGTTGTTTAACATAAACTTCTTTGTCTAAGGGTCCATTCAGGAATACACACATCACGTCCATCTGACATATATGCCAACTGTTTATTTCTGCTAGACCAACAATCAACCTGATTGTTTCAATCCTAGCAACAGGTGCAAAAACTTCATCAAAGTTTATTCCTTCTTTCTGTAGGAATCCTTTCGCCACAAGCCTTACTTTGTGTCGAGTTACTTCCCCCTTTGAGATTCATCTTCACTTTGTATATCCACTTGACATCAATTGCCTTCTTTCCTTGAGACAATTCGACAAGTGACTAAGTATTGTTATCTTCGATGGACTTCACTTCTTCGTTCATTACTTTCACCCACTTTTAATCCTTCAATGCTTCAGCTGCATTGACTGGTTCGACATCTGCATAGAAAGCATAATGTACCAGCTCACCTTCGTTATTAACCACACCATCTGATGTAATCACACATTCTTGCAACATTGCAGGTATGCGTCTTGTTCTTTGAGGTGTGCTTGTTCTTTGGGAATCCTCTTGTCGAACTTCTCTTTCGACTTGAGTTTTCGGTTCTTCAAGTAGGATTCCCATTTAATCTGTCTTGACATCTTCAGTCCAATCCCATTCTTTAAGCACATCTATGATCACGTCCCTACTGATCACAGTCTGCTTGTTCACTGGATCGAAAAATTTGTAACCTCATGTCGAATGATATCCAACTAGGATCATTTGACTCAACTTGTCATCAAGTTTTCTTCTCAACTGATCTGGCACATGTCTATGTGCAATAGATCCAAATACTTTCATAAGACTCAAGCTAGGCTTCACACCAGATCAATATTCTTCTAGATTAATTGCTTCTAGCTTTTTTGTTGAACATTTGTTCAAAATATATGTTGCAGCCGACACAGCTTCACCCCAAAACTCTTTAGGTAAATGCTTGCCTTTCAACATACTTCTCACCATATTCATGATGGTTTGATTCTTCCTTTCTGCAATTCCATTATGCCGTGGAGTATAGGGTGGCACAACCTCATGCACAATCCCTTCTTTTTCACATAATTTGTCGAAGTCTTTCGACACATACTCTCCACCACCATCAGTTCTTAAAACTTTGAGCTTTCGACCATAGATTTAAACTTGGTAAATACCTCGATCACTTCACTTTTCTTCTTGATCATGTAAGTCCATAATTTTCGATCGTAATCATCTATGAACGTGACAAAGTATTTCTTACCTCCAAAAGAATCCACCTGGATTGGTCCACATACATCAGAGTATATGACTTCGAGAGTAGCCTTCAACCTGCTTCCTGCATCCTTGTTGAAGCTATTCTTGTGTTTCTTCGCCTGCACACATTCCTCACACACCTCGTTTAGAATGTCAATTTCTGACAATCCTGAAACCATATTTCTTCTTTTCAAATTTCTGATGTCTCTGAAGTTGATATGGCCTAGTCGTTAATGCCATATTCATTCATCTCAGCTAGCTGCAGTCGAAAGACACTTGTGCTCCATCATATTAAGTTCAATCTTGAAGGTTCTATTTTGAGAAAAGGGAGCCTTCAAGATTAATCTTCCATTTGCTTTGAAGACTCTCATCATCTTGTCTTCGACCAACACTTTGTAATTCTTTTCGACCAACTGCCCCATGCTGAGCAAGTTGCTCTTCATGCCTGGTATGTACAACACATTGGAAATTACTGACCTTTTGTTATATTTCCTCATAATCAAAACATCTCCAATACCTTCAGCTACTAGAGTATTGCCTTTTGCAAATTTTACCATGTTCTTCATTGAGGGTTTTAGGTTGGCAAACCAATATTTCCTTCCAGACATATATGATGAGCATCCTGAATCCAAGTACCATTGGTCCTTGAATTTTTCTTCATCTCTTGTTGTAACCATCAGTAGCATCTCCTCTTCTTCATACTTTGCAAACTTTGCATCACTTTCTTGATTCTTTTTCTTTTCTGGACAATTACTCGAATAATGACCATACTTCTGCCAGTTGTAACACTGAATGTGACTCTTGTCAAGATTTTGGCCACCACCTCTTCCTCTACCTCCAGAACCGCCTCTTTGGTTGCCTTGGTATTATTTTCTATATTTGGCACATTTACTTCATGCTAGTTTCCTCTACCAGTCGAATTGTTGTAGCCACCTCTACCTTTGTTATCAAACTGGTTTCCTTTGCCTTTCTTGTCTCTTGTTGATTGAGCCTGCAAAGCTATATCACTCTTCGACTTGCCTACAGCTCTTTCAGCCATTCTTTGTTCGTGAGATTCAAGCGTCCTTTGAAGCTCTTCCTTCGACAAAGATGACATGTCCTTCGACTCCTTTATGGCAACTACGAACTTCAGAGCCAAAGATCTTAAGATCTTCGAAACAACATCTATTGTTGTTAACGTCTCTCCATAATTCTTGATTTGATTCACTAGTTTCGTAATCTTAGTGAAGAAATCAAATATGCTCTCACTATCTTCCATCTGAAGCAGTTCATACGTTCTTTTGTGAGTTTGTAACCTCACCTCTTTCACCTTCTCAACGCCTCTAAATGATTTCTTCAGGATTTCCCAAACTTCTTTTGCAGATTCTACATCACTAACCTTTTCGAAATCGTATGGGCTGACACATTGGTGAATTATAAAAGAGAGCTTTATAATTCTTCTTTTTCGATTATCTATATGTAACTTCTTCTTCTTCTGAAGTGTCTTCATCAAGTGGTTTTATTCCATGTTTCACAAGATCCCAAAGACCTTGAAAACAAAATATAACCT